ATGCTTAATTCGTGCGGCATGGCTTCAATCGTTGCCCGGTTCAACAGCACTTTCACCATATACCATATAGATGTCCAAACAACATGATGGATCCCATAAAGTCAGTTACTTTGAAGTCCTGCCTTATACCCACGCAACTGTTCCGAGACTAATCGTAAGGCCTTTGCAGGAAGTCAGTGGATGGGAATCCTGCACTGGATTGGTCTGTAAAGAGTGCTGCAGGTTAGTGAAATATTCACCACTTCAGTGCTGAACTCGGTTTCGCTTCAAACCAGCAGCGCGGATGTAACTACTTTCGGCATCAGCCACGGTCCTCGTGATCGAAAGACCAAGGTTCACGGTAACGGGAATCGCGGTCAACATTGAGATTGCGCGTCGCAATCCATCCACACAACGTGTACTTCAAAATGACCCTCAATACCAATCATTAACCGTTGTGCTAAGCGTTGCCCATCGGGACCCGGTGGCTTAGGGTTAAGGGTCACGATTAGCATCCCAATGGTCCCAGGTTTGATGCTTGCTATCACTATCTGGTGAGATGAAGTAACATAAGAGTGCCATGCTTTCCGGCGAATGCAACTAGCTTCCGATCTCAATTCTAGGAGGAGAGCGAGGCGTGTCGCGGGCAATACATGTCCTCAGTCTCTTGTGGACAACATGCCGCTCAAACCCGCTACCGAGTGAGTTAATTGATTCGGAAGTATGTTGAGTTCGATGGCGCACGTATACGATCGTTTCTCAGTGCCGGGGTACTCCCTTCGGCTTGAGAGAGGGCCCTTCCTTTTGCATACCGTAAAACAGTCACTTATGTAGCCATCGTTAATGTTAGCTTCGAGAATTAACACTCTCCCAATGAGTAAGGCGATCCTGATTGCTGGAGCGCTTAGTAAGGGTCGTCCGGCGCTGTTTCTGCTGCGAGCAGCACTTTCCATGCATTGAACTGGATAGTGATGTCTGTTCAGTTGGAGATGAGGGCGATTTACTCGGGTTTCATGATTGTCCCACTGAAAATCTTGGGGTAGGATCGACCCACCGAAAATAGACTGAAATGGTATTAGTTTAAGGTTGCAGTTAGAGTTCATTTATCGCGAAAATGGAACTTCCTTCCTTAACTTGCTGAACCTGTCGTTAGAAGATAGTTTCCCTTGATTGGAAGTCCGTGTGTACAAGGCCACGGTGATTGCCGTCCTACTTTATGGTTGTGAGACTTAGTCCTTTGGTCTGAGGATCTTAAGCCCCTCCTGGTCTTTGACTTTCGTTGCCTGGGAAGCATTTCTAATATCGGATGGCATCAGCGTGTCTGCAACGATAATGTGCGTAGACTGCTACTAGACGGAGATTGTCAAGTTAGTCCCCTAGCACAACAAATAACATTATGTTACATTTGTTCCGGCGCGCGCAACGTATGTCCGGTCACTGCCTATAAAAGAGGGCCTTGTTTTGTTTGTCCGATGTTAGATGGCACAATGCTCTAAGTGAGCAAGAGTTGACTGCAACGCGATTCGAGGTCACTTACGATTAAACCGGTACTTTGATCCGTATCGCTTTTTGGGATCGGTTCCATTTGACCTACATGGTGTTTCTTTCGAGCTCGTAGTGAGCACCAGTGGCGCATTCGCTATCGTCTTCTCGTCCGATCACCTGTTCAAATTGTACCTGACGCTGAGTTAGCCGCCGGGTATTATCGGCCTATGGCTCGGGACACTGAAAGCCTCAAGATGGATGTCTCGCCGAAGCCTCCTTATCTTTACACGACAGCCAACTGATTGTGACCGTATGTTGTTGAAAAAGTGCGAGCGCCTGAATGTCTGCCTAGAGCATTTAGGTTTTACAATAGCTCCCCGTATTTCCCCCCTTATTGCTCTTGATTGCGGTCATTATAGTTGTACTGCAATGAAGTGTCATTTCAAATGGCTGGTATATCGCTCTTGTTAATGAATGTGATGACGGAGGATTGGTCTCACTCGATTAATCACTGCGCATATCTGCAACATACATGAGGCTCTGCACTCCTTTCCTATATGTAAGCGGCATCGCATTGTCTTATGAATTAAAGGCGCTTTTAACAGTATTGCAGTTAAACCGGCGTATGGATCAGAGTTCTGCTGATTGCATTTTAAAGAGCAATGTGCGCGCAGCATTATTGGCATCTGATAAGATCCATTGAGTGAGTGCTTGTGATTTTCGTCTTCGATGTTCGATCATAAGTTTTTTGGTTTTTCACTGAATCTTTTCTAACCTGAATCGTTCACACTGAATAGGTCCTACTTTTAGAGTGTTTGTCGACCACTTCCTCAGCGTTTTATTCGCGTATACCGTTTCTGAGCACTTGGAATCACATGCTTATCAGTCGGTTACGCACCGACAATTCACTACTCATGCACTTGAACAATCTTGCCAAATTGGTACATGCCTCATTTCAGTATGGCACCCACGAAATGGACCACGTCCACGACTAGCGATCCATTTCGGCAGAGGCCACCAGCAAAATTACGTGCTTTTTGCGTTTTATCCGCTGCTTGTTTACTTTTCTGTCTCACGATTACGTATTTCCCCTGTATCGCTGTTCTTTCGAAGGTCTGTCAGTGCGTTTTTTTCTTCCGTCTTTCCAAGCTGTTGTCATTTATAGTTCCTACACCGATACATATCTTGGTCTTTTGACATCCACTGTCTGTAGCGGGGCACACTGACAACGAAGGACAGTGTGGCGCAGCAGTGTGGTTTACTGTTCCATTTTCACGATATCCTTTTCTACCTGATCTACATATGCCAACACTCTCCGTTCGCGTTCTCGACTGATTTTCTCCTTTTGTATGAGTCGCGGCTCTGCAGTTTGCTCACCGCTGTTCTAGCAAATCGTAATCGCAGTCATTTATGGACCCCGTTTTTGTTTACTTTCGTGCCTTTTGATGTTCTAATTTTACCTCATATCCACTCGGCTCATGTGGCTCGATCTTCAACGCCGTACTCTGCCATCATTTCGTTGTTCCGATAATTTACGTCCATGTTGTAACTTCTGAAACGAGTTGGCTTCTTTTTGGGCACCCATATTCTGTCACCTCTTTATTCAGGCTTTCACATCTCCCTCGCCAATTATGTTTTCCTCAATCAAAAGTGCGCACATGAACTGCCTTTTGCGCGCTGGAAGCGTTGCCTTAACTTTGTACAGTAAGCTATGCAAATATGTTAATGGCTTCTTCCACCCAGCTACCTGTGCTACCTCCTCTTCGAATGCGCCTTTCGGAAACGTTACCTTGCATGCTCTGATAGATTCCTTGGAATATGCCCTACTTCCATATACTTTCTATTTCGGCCCTCTCATTACCTACGAAGACTGGATAACCTACCGCTCGGGGAAAATTACTGTAAGTCCACTCCAATTCATCCACTTATTACCCCCTTTTCTGTGTCTACGGCGTACTTATATTCGGCAACTTCTCACCCAATTTGCCTTATTGTTCTTCTCATGCTGATAACACCTTTTTCGTTGCGTTTGAACAACAGCCCTTATTGTACTAATTGCCCCTTACCGACTCCGTCTGTCCGAGCGTGTCCAATATGATTCATCATCAATAGCAATACATCAGCCATTTGAACTGATGCTTCGCTGCCATACAACCATGAGGACCTATGAAATAAAGAATTAGAAGAGAGAGAGAAGAGTGAGAAGGGTGAGTTACCTGAAAACCTTAATGCCCTAAGCAAACATTCAGGGTTAAGGCGCCTACATCTTGTGTTAACAACATACCGTCACAAACAGCTGGCTCTCGTGCAAAGATAAGACGGCATCGGCGAGACAGCTTCCTTGCGGCTTTCACTGCCTTGCGTCATAATCAGCCATTACCCCGCAGATAACTCAGCACCAAACATATTTTAAACAGACAATCCGATTAGGAGACAGCAGCAGACGCGCCACTGGTGTCTACTGCGAGCCATGTCCTGTAAAGTCTCGAGCCAAGCACAAGCCGAGTCACGTGGACTCCAGCCCGGAAGACGAGACGGACCAACAGCACCCAGTATGGTCGTCAGTGACTTCATTTCCCGCTGCCAAGTCAATTTCTGTCCCCATCGAGCCTTGCGCCACCCTACACCTTTATGGGGTATTCGCACCGCTGGTTTGTTTGGACCCTCTCATGCGTTACACTTAAGCTTCTTGCTCGTCATCGTCATTTATCCGTGGATCATGGGGTTCTACGCAATTCCGTTTCACCTGCATTCTGGCTTGTTATAAAACAGGAGAAGACATCAACATCAGGAGAAGACATCAACAGTACCGACGCTTCGCTGTCGCACAGCCATCACTAGTCATACGTGGGCCAAAGATACTGTTAGGGTCGCCTGGTCCCTTCGCAGGCTCGAACTTGCGCCCTCGGATTACAACGCAAGCTTATGATCCTTATGCCTAAGGGCCGTGCTGGTGTGTTACACCTATCAATCATGACACTGCCCCTGTCACGTAGCACGCTTCAACGTTGCATATCATCAGTCAAGAAACGGAAAGTATGCATTTTGCGCTTTGACTCACTCTGCTTCGGTGTTCTGAGCTGGCGTTGTTGAGATGAATAGTCCTGGATTGATATGTGTACTTTACTGGCTCCTTTTCGGGAGTTTCATTCCTTAGGACGCTGTCAAAAAGCATGCCTCTGGGGTGAGTTCACACGTAGCTGACGAACAAGCGCTCGTCACCGTTTATCACGTAGTTGTGATCTGACATCAGAACGGATGGCAAGTCCGCACTGGTCCTTGGGACCGCGACCTTGGGTGAGTTCATATAACTTGGACAAATGGTGTGGGAGTTCAGCCATAGGTACGAGGCTGCCCGTGTCAGACCACTAATTGGATATAGAACTCCCTGTGTGTGTGGCGCTTGCTGAGTCCTTTCTCAGTGAGCTGATTGAGCTCCACTAACAGTCAAACCACAGCAGCTCAGGCTGCTTCAATTCCAACATTCATCACTAGCTTTGCTGCTGATATGCCTCCGCCTTTTTGCGATAATCCTAATTTGTTATCATATCGCGACGGCCACTCGGTGGTGCTTTCCTTATCGTCATTTGATCCATTCACACTGCGTAAACCATGGCCTTTCAATATTTAATATTTGGGAAGGGGCTTATTCGAGTACTGGATGTTCTTATTTCAACAACATCTGTTAAGCCTAGCAGTTCGATTTTCTGACAGAATTCTCGTTACATATACGTCGCGCTAGGTACTCTGAAAGCGTCCTGTCCTGAATGTTCTTTGCGACCTTCATCAGACAGCAAATGTAGTCAGCTTGTGCCGATGGCGCTGATTGGTTTTTCACCCTCTGGCTCTATCTGTTCTGTTCGCTCGGTCGATCGCCTACCAATCACATCATGCACCGTCCCTTGCCTTGGTGCAGGATCAAAGTCGTGCTTACTCGTAACATTGCAAACCAATTCCTCACGGTTCATCCGGTCCGTTTAATTGTGGTCAACTTGCATTTGCCGCGCTGATTAGCTCTGTAGTCCAGTGGTCGCGCGTCGATTTCGCTCGCGTAGGTTGTCAGCTACATCACACGCCACAGCTATTCGTTATTTTATATTTGACAAAAAGGCCCCCAGCGTCCCGTCGTAGTTTTTACTGAGTAGGAACTATCTCTACTGACTTAGTCATGTGCTCCTCTCGTCTTGAAACATCCTTTGCGTGTACCTTAAATCAACTATGAGCAAAGTTAGATGAAGTCCTAAGGTTGTCTAACAACGATATGGCAAAAGTTCTCGATGAAAAGTGATTCTTTTGGAGCCTATCATTTTCCTCCAATTCTCGGGAACAGCCACATCACTGGTTTGAGCACGATCGCAAATTCCACGGTGCTCTTGAACTCGGTTCCCCATCCTCGACTTGAATATCGATCGGGATGGTTTCATTTACATCCATTTCACTTTTGTCGCCATCACACATATTACCATTATTTTAGTGCAATGAGTCAGAGAAACTGGATCTACTGCGCATCGTCGCTCTACTCATAGTTAACCGACCTCTGCTGCCTCTGTATCCACCTCTTGATACCTGACATCAGTTTTCCCTTGACAACGTTAGACAAGACCGTACCATCAGTTGTTGTTTCTCGCCTATCACCTCTATCGGATTGCTTGTTGTACCTGAGTTACGACCAGGCCAGCACATATGTGGTACGATAGGTACACGTGTTATTGTTCTACGGAAACTTCCATAACATCCGAATAACCTCAGAGTCATCCACACACACTTCAGTCTAGGTCAGTTAGCATAAGACAGCAATTTTGTCTCTCTTGTTATTCCCCACACTGCTTTGCTCACAATGTGTGTTTGTCTTGGTAGTGCAGAAGACGTAAATTCCAGAACTCTGATGGCATTTTCCAGTCGCCATCGTTTATTTTGCCAAATTAGTTACCTTGCGACTTGCAGTAAAAGTATTTACTTACCACCTGCCAACAAGTTTGTAAAAACGATTACTCCTTATTATGCTTAAATCTGAAAGCAACCACTGCCCCGTAGGCACTGATGAGTATGCAGATTCTCGGCCAGTTTAATCTAAAGGTAGAACGTTTGCAATTCTTTTTCACACAAAACCGCTGCTCAATTCTTCTATCGTGTTCAGGATCGTTGAAATCCTTAGCTACAGGTTCTCATTATTTGTTCTAACACCTCCATGCCATCAATTCCCTGTGCTCTTATCCTTTCTTGTGATGCGTAATTCTAAGGTATCTACTTTCTATGTTTGCTTTGTCAATCGTTTGGATGTGTTGCGCTTCCCACCACTCATTTGCAACCTTCGTACACTTGATGTGCCATTTTGTTGCCCACTCCTGCGCAAGCTGCTTGATCACGTCTGATGTAACTGATCGAACTACTCGTGCCGCGACCACCACGCTACCGGAGCCCTACCTCATTAAGGCATTTTTCCCAACGGCCACATAGTGACATCCTTGGACGCACTTAACGATCTACCCAAACACCTTCTCGAGGTGAGGGCCCGTCTGCTGCCACCCATCGGTCAGCTCGGTGCTCTTCCCACACAGCATGTATGCTAATTTTCTGACCAGCTTACCGTTTTGCTGTCTGTTTTTTTCCGAAATTCACTTCTATTTTTACGTTTGTTTCCCCATCCTTCACCGTGCCTCGAACGCTTTCGCACTTCCATGATCCGATAAGCTTTAGTTGCCGGTGTTTTCCACTTATTGTACCGCAATTATTATACTAGGCGTAAGATGACTTCAATATAAAGGAATACCCTTTTGTTTGGCAATTCGTATCCTTTTGTTGGATAGTCCACTTTCTCACTTTTACTTTCACAGTCTCAATGGGCCTGAATAGTCGATGCATTTTCCTGTCTCTTTCGCTGCACCACTTTCCCTTTGGCGCTTTCCATTACCAGCTCACTAGAGAGCCAGCATATTGGCGCCTTAGGTGCTTATCTCCAAAGGCAAGTAGTCGTGGATATAACTTTTGCCGTCTGAAGATGTTCCCATGTCTCAAACCAAAAAGTCCTGCCTGAGACAGCTTGAAGCATTCTCGGTCTGCATCATGAACCGCCTGTAGCGATTAGCCGCGTTGTAGTTGGGATACAATTCTACTATAGCACATGCATCCAAGACACAGAGTTCGCGTATTCCTGCGTGCTTTGGCCTATCACGATACCTACATGTCCAGGGGATATACTCTAATTGCTGTCGAATCAGACGTGAAGTAGCTTTTATGGACCTATATCTCAGCCCTTCTGGTTGCTGCATGCACCAAATTTTATTTTAATTGGGTATATCAGTACCTCTCATTTACGCGGACTTGAACGACGGCCTTATTTGTTGAATCGAGCAGCGATGTGACTCGTCAGCATTATTACAGCGGTATGCACAAATGGCTAGTCGCGGTCTGGGCAATAAAAACTTAGGGATGTGGGCAGATTGGCTTGTGCTGATACACCATGGTTCCACAGGCGTATTTATAAACGACAATCGAATCACGTTTAAGTGACCTGGTGCGCGAGTTTGGGCGGTAGTAATTCCAGTGGACGTTCCACACTAAAAAAGCAACTTGGGTAAGTAAATCGCACGCTGACTATAGTTAAACGGAAAAACTAGAAGAAAAGACTGATTTATCAATGATTCGTCTGTTATTTCCCATCCTATCACACCTACAGATAAAATCAACTAAGCACGAATGTTGTCTCGTTTTTCGTTTTAAGGTTTGAATGTCTGACCTGATGCTGAAGTGGGTATCATATGTTACGCGGCACATCATGAAACTACAGTTGGCACTGAATCTTATATATTTCGATTTGCAGAACTCCATCCCCTTTAGTCTGTATTTTTCAGTCATTTCATATTGCGTTAAGCGCTACTCGCCAGAAACGCCGTATCTATATGTATATGTATATTTGCATATAAAACACTTGGCCACTAGTAGTACAATTGACAGAGCGCTACGACACTCGGATGAATCCAGTTGAATATAATAGAAAAAACAATTGTGA